TACACCAGATTTTTAACTAGCCTGCTCCTGCTTCTTTCCCCATACTTAGGGAAAGCCTATAATGACAGAGAAGCAGTTTTCAGGAAATACCAGAGAGTTATTTCTACATCTCCTGAGACAACAGCACAATGTTGTGTGAAGCACAAAAGATTCTTGCTTTACTGTTCTCTTTCTCTCTCTTTTTTTGCTCTAAGAAATCATCTTCCTAAAAACAAAAATTCTGGTTTAGAAGTTTCATCAAATGAAAAAGTGTTGAGAAGTAAAACAAAGTACAATAATATCAGCTTGATAATCCTCTGAATTCAATTTGAAAACAAAAGTTTGAGACATTAACTAAATCATTCATATTGGTACAGTCAAGTGCCATAAAAAGCAAGCTACATGCAAGATTTCATTAATATTGAGTTAAAAAAAAATAACAGGTTAGGTATCCAAGTTGTGTTGTGAAGAGAGAACACGGTTGTTTTTACTCTAGGGAAATCGTAAAACCCACATGCAAACAGAGGACACATACTTGTCACCACAGAACAGTACCTTACAAGACCATCAATTAAAAACAATTGAATACAAATGTAAGAATCAACAGGTCTAAAGTTGATCATGAAAACAAAGTATAACAATATGTGTTGTAAGCTTATAATGGCTAGATATTGTTTCTAGCAATATTATTACTTATGTCATAAAGAAGTAACACAGTTTTTTAATTCAGAGAAGGATATGTTTATGTACAGATCCTGAATTAAATCTGTGTTTCAGGACTTTTAAAGATGGGGAGAAAATTCAGCCCTGGCTGGAGGCAAAGGGACACCAGCACCGTTTTCCTTAAATCATCATCATTTCACTGATGAAAAGGTGGCATTTTTTAGCTTTGCAGATCTTTTCAATACACCAGGCAGAATAAAGTCGTTTGACCTAGTACATCTCAGAAATATGTGTAAGAAGGCCACAGAAGTCAAAAGCCCTTTCCAAAAAAGGCCTTTGAATATACTGGTTTGATATCTCAAGAAAAGGATTGGTTATGGATTCTTAGATTAGAATATATTGTTTTAAGGCTTCTGAAAGGTTAGCATGTTGAATTTTTTTCTTAGACTACAGAGACCATGCCACACAAATGACGATAACTGATATGGAAAATACTCCATCAAAGGTTTCTATGCAGTATCCTGCTTTGTGTGAAACACTGGAGAGGAGGACACAGCAACAGGAAACAATACGAACATGCGGGACAAGAGAGTTAAGAGTTCTTGGGGGAAGTGCTGACCTGCCACATGCTTAAATCTGATTTGTCTCCACTTGTTAAATGTCATCAAGGAAAACTGGCTTGGGAATTCCATGGCTACTCCTTTATCCCCCATGACATAGTCTACAACGAGTCACATTTTATTGACAGAAAAATGACCACAGGGGCTCCTGTAGGACATCGAGCTAACCGAGATCAGAGGGCAATGCACAGGGGATAACACAGTAGAAGTCAATGGCAAAAGTTCAAGGGTTTTTAGTCTTGACATTTCAGTTGCGTACCCTGGTTTCCGATCACAGAAAGACCAACCACCAAACAGCCAACGCAAGAACCACGAGAAAAGACATCATGAAAGGAACACGAGGAGATGGAAAAGTACTAGAGTAGAGGTGGCACTTTTTGAGAGACTTGTGATCCTCAGGGATTGGAATAGAAACCTTGGGAGGAATTTCTTCATGTTCTTGCTGGGACAAGGCTCTTTCAGAAGATCTCGCTTGCCTTTTAACTTTCTCTTCATCCTGCACTAACAGAGCACGTTCCTGTGTCTGCTTTCACGGTAGAAGATCAAGAAAGACAGAGAAAGATGAACAAAATGACAGATGGGAAAATGCTCAAAAATGACACTTGGGGATGTGCAAAGGATTTGGGGGAGTCTTTTGGACATTCTTTATTTTTCTTTACTTTGGCAATTTATCCTGGCAAAGTTTCTATAAAAGTATCTTAACCGGAGACTACACCTGAGGGAACAAATCAAATACTGTCCAAAAATTTAAAATGATGTAAGAAAATAAATTTTAAAAAAGGTATCTCAACAGATGTTTTCTAATGAATGAAAATTAGAAATTCTGGAAGTGGACTTCCTTAGTTATAGTATTTATTCTTCCTTTGAATCTACTCATACATGAGTTTTTGGTCATTTTTCATTAGTTTTCATTGTTGCCAATTTTTTTTTTTTGATCAGTTGGGCAAAGCCAACAAGGAAGCTTTCTTCTTGCCATCAGAAAAGTTACTTTTATTACAAATAGAATGACAGAATAAAAAAGTTATCCTCATATCTCTTCATATAGACTTTTTAAAAAACACATTTCATTCAGTGTGCTAGTTAGCTTTTGTTCAGGGAATAAAAATCTTAATCTTATACATTTTAAAGATAGCAAAAGGAAAAAATATGTACAAAAGCTTTAGTGTGCCTCCAAGGTCTACCCAGAAAAAAAGAAAAACCAAACCCCACAAATCTTAACAATTGCAAACTCCCTCCCCCTCTTTCAGAATCATGATTAAAAATAGTACTAGCAACCATCATAAAAGTGTATACATCAGATTAAGCAAATATTTTTGACACTTTGAAGGAATGTTTTTTTTTTTCCAATGGTCCAAGTGAGAAGTTTTTCTCCCACTATAGTTTCTTTGTTCTGCCATCCCATCCAGTCAGGATGGATGTTATCTATGACAGGAAAAACTTGGCCCTAAGTTCTCTCAGTTGAGCCAGCCTTCTCTGATCAGTTTGAAAGTTTGACACTGGTTCTTTGCACACCCCTAAGTGATACGTATCAGGGAGAAAGTAGCTGGGGGACTGGTCAGCAAAAAAGAAAAAAAGAACACAAAGGGTGCAAAATTATAATGATTTTTAAATGAAAATAAAAGAGGAGAAGAAAGACAACATAAAAAGAACAGGGAACAATTAAATTCATTTTTCTCTCTAAATACATATTTATATCTTCATGCAGCTTTTTTAACCAGCCATGCGCCGAAATAAGCAAATTGAAAGCTGCAAAAGCTGCAGCAGTAGAAATGTTATGTGTTAGGCCAAAGGCTGTGGGTATGAACTTACTAGTATAGCCAAAAGAAAAAAATCACTCAGCAGCTGCTGTTCAGTTCTGGGGGGATTATCTGCTTAGTGCCATGACAAGAGCAAATTCCATTTGAGAAGCACAAGTCATAACAGCAGCTTTACCTCTGGCCCACCAACCTTTCTTTCCGAGGGAAGGATAGAGGCTTTCTTCACCTGGTTATACACAAATTATATGTAAAATTCAGTTGCCTTGCAATGCAACAACAATGCTGTCAAAGGTGGAAGAGGTATCCCCAAAGAACAGAAATACTGTCCTAACTACCTCTAAAGAAATAGTAGATACCAGAAAGTGGAATTATCCTATCAAAAGTTATTGAAGTACAGTTCTTACTTATCCATTATTCACTTAGAGGGGTAATATACATAAGCACAGAGTTAAAGTTGCTCAAGTACTCCCCACCGGTCTCATTTAATGTATAAAAAGTCATTTCTTTGAGTCCACTGAATGACACAGCCATTTCTCAAACCAGCTCAGATGATTTCTGAAGGGTTTCTATTAAGATATGTTTTCTGGAAATGGAGATTGAGTCAAAATTGTCTTATCCAAGAGAGAAGTAAGTTACTTTTCAAAGAAGTTAGACATTTTTGTTCCTTGAGCAGAATCAAAAAGAAAAGTTTCAGAAAAAAATGCAGTTATGTTTTGCAGACAGGATGATTCAAGTAAGAAGAGCAACAAGACATGGGCAGAGAAGGCAGTCACTGCCTTAGGTCAGGGGACATTGCCCACATTTACAACAAAAAAACGAATGTCCATTTAAATAAGGGCTCGGAGACTGAGAGGACACTGAATAGAACAACTGCATCTTATCTCTGGTAATTTTGTTTAGCTTCCTGTCATTCAGGAATCAGTCTTATTTGGTAAAACTGGTTCAACGCTATTTGGAGAATTGTAAGCCAATTTAATCACATTTGAAAAATATTAAAAAATACACTTTGTGGAGCACTTTGATCAACTTCTCCAGTTCCAGAAAGGAAGCAATAAGATGGATAGTCTTCCATGAACTCTGATTATAAAAACAAAGTGTTTTTTAGTTATTAAGATTTATCACTTTACCATTTTTAATTAACTAGAATTGCTATACTGTAGAGGGAAAAACACGCCTATCATTTTAAAAACACTATACTCATTCATCGTGTCCTGGTGGCTATATAAATATTTATCCCATATAGGCTAAAGATTAAATAGTTTTTTAAAATATGTTCAAGGTAACTTTTAAGATAAACTCATTACACAGATTGATTTATTCAGATACTTATAAAACAGCTAATGACAACACTAATACATAAAGAAGAGCTCTGAAAAGTGTATCTGGCTTTCTCTAATCATGACCATCTTATGAAACCATGCATTAAAAGTTTGATGTTACTCATAAAGATAAAATACATCATGAAGTTTCTCTAAAATCTAAACACAATCATTTATAGTTGGTGTTCTGCATTCTCTGGCTTAGGGACCTCATGAATTTATTATATAATTGTGGTCAACCATTCCAGACATTTCTAAGTTGTACAGATTTTCAAATAAAGTTTAAAAAAATGTTTATCCTTTTCCAATTTTGACCTTACTAAATTTAGTAAAAACTCTGGTGCTTGACAACAGAGTTTGAACATAGAGTTCCACTGGCTTATGGTCAATTTGTAAACACACACTAGCCAGAAGCAATCAGCTGCAGAGCTAGTTCTCAGAGCCTGATCAACTTTGAGAAGCTCTAAATGACTCCTATGACTGAGGAGCCCACACTGCTTAAAAAATCGCAGCATTGGATTATGAATGCCTTTAGTTAAAACTACAATGAAGTAATGAGGCATCAAAACTAAACTTCAGTTCTAAATTTTTTTGCACATACAAAACATTAGCAAAAACATTTATGTCACTCTCACAACTGGTCACATGGACAAAGTACTCACTCCTTCTCCTGTGGGGATTTGCCCATTGACGTTAAGTGTTCGGAAGGGGGAGTGAGTGGATAAGCGCTTATCCCATTCACTAGGCCGTGGTTCTGGTACAGATTCCATGAAGTTCTTTTTCAGCTCACTGATGCTGGCATGATGTTTTTTTATTTCTTCTTGACTTTTGTCTAAATCCTATAGTTGAAAGGACAAAAACGCAAAACTATAATAAATACTCGGGAAAAAACAAAGGGAAGCCTGTCACAGACTATGGGCACTGATAGGATAAAAACCAAATCCAGGAGAGATGTTATAGTTCACATACTGCATTCAAATTGTAAATATACAACATGGTATACTTGTCTTTTTTTTTAAACAAGGTGCTTTTCTTGGAAACAGTGAAGCCTCATAACCCCACAGTTTTAATTTCAAAATCCATGAAGTTTACTCCTTAATTTTCTTTCCATTTGTGACACAGTGCTGGATCTCCTCACCCCAAGGAAATCCCACAACTCAATCAGCCTCAGTTTAGTCTGCACCTATCAAGGCTCCACTCAGGTAATGTGGAGACAGCAGTAAGTAAAAAGACTGTTAAATGAAGCACATGTTCAGATATTCAATTCCCACCATTAGCCGCTGGGCTTTTTTTATTTTTATTTTTTGCTGAGTTGCAACTGCCAGTATCTCTGTTTCTACCTAGAAATAGTTTTGCAATCCTACTACTTGGTGGCTGCTGTTGGTTTTGAAAAACTAGAATAGCCCTTTCTTGATGTAAGAAATTTATTAGTGAAATGAACAGCTCAAGTTTCTAAGGCAGACTGTTACTACCTTTGAAACATCACTCAAAGGTAATAAAAGGACTTTTCTTTTTTACCGTCACTATTTGTGAAAATTAAAAGTCAAGCTTTCCAGTGTCTGACAGCTTCACTTTATCCATTAATATTTCAAAATAGGAACCTTTCTCCAGTAATTTCAATTGGGAGTGATTTAACAAGAGTTTGTCAAATGTATTACCTCCTTGATGCAATTAATTTAAAATGTGCCGGCATATTTGAATAGTGGACAACTAAGCGTAGACTCTTTAAAGGGATATTCTAAGGACAAGTGATCAAAAATAAGGTTAATAAGGCTAGTGTTGATACTCAGGTTTATGTATCAGAGGATATGTAATGGAGAGTTGGCCAGAAATAATCTGGGAAATAGAACTTGAAGACAAAAACTCAGTCCAACACAATCCTAAAAAAACAAAACAAAACCTAAAACTCAAAAGATCTATGCTTGCGATCAAAATATGTGGGAGCCCATCAATGACTGCTAAAAATTCTGTGTTTATTATATATCAAGGCCACTCTGTATCCAAGAAAAGCATTAAATTTATCATAAAGATTAAATATATCTCCTATGTGTCAATTTGGGATTTTTTTTTTTGGTTTTATGGGAAACTAGTCCATTTTGGGCAAAAAATAAGGACTCAAAATAGGTTGTAAAAGTTTTTTTGGGGGGGAGGGAGGAAACATAGGCTTTCCCTAAATACAATTTTTTTTTTTCCAAACTAACGTCAAAGAGAAAATAGCATAGGAAAAATCAGTGAGACATAACATAATTTTGATTCTACACTCAGAAAATTCACTTATTAGACCATATTTTGCAAAACGGAACCGCTGAGATTAGTCAAAGAGAAAACTAATCCCAAAAGGGCAATCCTGTAGCTCCCCCATAAGAGTATCTCTTATTGCTGGGATGAAAAGTAAGTATAACTCATGAATATGGGCTTCACCATGGGGAAACAACAGTTTGCACTTTTGTTTTAGCTTGAAAGCAAGAAAAACATGTTTCCTCATTTAAAAAAAAAAAGCATACAAAGAAGCTGGGTCAAAGACTCAGAATAGGCTGAGCAACTGAGACCCATTCGGCATATAAGGCCCTGTGACCTGGCATCTGACTGCAATTAAGTCTGCATAACTTAACACATTTGGAGGATCTTAAAGTGTAAATAAATGGAGCAGAAAATAAGTGAGCAAAATATGCTATGGTAAAACCAAGGTTCTCTGGGTTAACCTCTTAATATGAAAGAATGGTGGTCTGTCACTCTTCTTTCCTAGTTTTTGATTGACTTAGAACCTGAGGAAATAAATGTTTCAATAAATCAGTAGCTTCTGAGGGAACTTTCTCCATCTTAGCTGGCTCTGTTGGAAACCTGTGGGGGCACAGAGTAAAATTAAGATCTCAAAGGGACCTGTTCCAAATAGAATTTGTCATAGACACTTGCTACAGGTTCTCTCTGGGAGATGGAGGAGGAGGCGGCAGATCTAAAAATGAACTCGACCGACCTTATTTGTGCCAGAACAAAGCATTAGTGGGGGTGGGGTAGGAGTAGGGGAAGGAGGGATGCTTAAAAAAAAAAACCAAAAAACCTGCTAAGATGACAGATAACTTGAGAAAACTTCCTTGGGAGTTGGAGGAGGGGGTGACCAAATTTTTTATAATAAATAAAGAATGATAGTTAGCCAAATTACTTAAGGTGTTTTCAGGTGGACATTTTTTGATGCCTATCATCTTATAATTTTAGCAGCAATCAAAACAAACACTTTTGTTAAATATAAAACGTCCTCAAAAAGTAGTTAGTAATTTTAATTTCAAACACACACTTATTTAGATTCCCCTATTATGGCTGTCAATGAAATGCTGGGAAAAAACACATCACACACAGGGACTTTGTGAGTCTCAGAAGCCATAACACATCTCATGGAGTAAATGACAAATATATGATTGGTACTGTAGGTTCCAGTTAACAGGATGAGCTAGTTTAAGAAATTGGCATGTTTGGGATTGGAAGATATTATATGCTGAGTATAAAAAGATCAACAGATAATGCTAGTCTTCTTCAGTCTTCCTAATTTTAGAAGAAACATTCTGGCTGTTACAGGTTAATGTAGAGATCTAATATTCAAGTTTGAAACATTCTAGGGCCCAGGCCTTGGAAAGCCTCATATTACATGAGGTAAATTGATAAAAGGTACCTGATACTTGCCTGTCATACAATTGGTTAATGAAAGCTGACCTTACTTTTCTTTACCTTTACCAAAATACCTTATACATAGCAGGCGCTCAAAATACAAATATTGATAAGGAATAAGATTAAGTAATTGTTAGAGGCCACTATATTAAAGTTTCTTTAAACTTTCAGTTTAATAGTGTTTACCACACTGAATATGTGTTTATCTTGTAGGTCTCAGCTAAAACGCTAGTTCTTCAGAGTTAACGTTCCTGTCCATCTTATTTAAAGTAGATCCTGTTTATTATCATAACATACTGTGTATTTTCTTCACAGCTTTTATATTCATTGTAATCATTTTATCATGACTTGTTTATTATTTCTCTTCTCCCCCTTCCCTAAAATGTAAGCTTCCTGAAGGCAGAAACCATGTTTGTCATCTTCCTTCATATTTGTATTTCCTTTATATTTAAGTTAAATTACTAATGTCAGAGTTTATCTCCCTTTCTTTGGGTTCTGTCTTGAGGGGGATTGTAAAATAATCTGGTCAGCTTCTATACGAGTTTTTCCGATGTGTGAGTTAATGTGAATAACACAGAATAATTCCAGTTTCCTTAATTTTTCCTCTTGGAGTTTCCCTTACCTTCTATTTGGTTTTATATTTACTTAACTCAATGTAGAGCCCAAAACTAGACAATGTAAAAGGATATATGCCAGGCAAAAATCTGAACAATATTGAATATAATTAGGAAATGACCTAACAATTCCACAGCAGACAGTGAGTGCTATTTTTGAGTGGAAAAAAAATCATACTTTAATAGTATTAGATATGCTCTATCTCAACTTCAAGCTTTACCAGATTACCAGTGCTGTGACTATAGGGATATTACCTAATTTCTCTAAGCCTCAAGTTTCTCATCTTTAATAATCCTATACACACAGGTCTGTTTTTATTATTAACCTATCTTATATCATTCTAACTACATAGAAAATACTAGGTTCCCTTCCTGCCTTCCTGCATCTTAGTTTTTCCCCCCTTAGCTGACCTTCTGTTCTTATCTGGCACCCTCTAAACGTAAAGTCTTTTGAATTGTGGTCATTTTTCCTATACTGTCTCCACTGAGATGAAAAATTGAACAAATTTGATACTTGGAATACAGGAATCTGTATTTTTGAAAAATTCAAGGGATTTTTACCAATGATATAGAATTTTCCAAAAGTGAGAAAACAATGGAACCTTGAGAGGCAGAGGGAGTCCCAATCATATATTTTATAAATAAGTATGAGAGATGGAAACTAAAGAGCCAGAAGGAGAGAAGGTTATGCATCTCCATGCTTACCAACATGCAAAAGCATTTTTAATCTAGGAATCCTTCATGCAATGGCATGCAAAACCAAATGCAGCATAGAAAGAAGAAAGATTGGCAGAGCTCGGAAGGTTACAGGCAACCAACTGAAATAAGCTTCAAGTTCATACAAACCTCCAACATTAAATTGCTATGTCTGATATAAATGTTTTCACCATCTAGTCTCTCTCTCTTTTTCTGTGAAAATGAAAGAGGGAAAAACAGAAAAGCATAAAAAAATTAAAATGTTGTTCTTGCGGGAAAAAAACAGCAAATTGGCAAACCAAAAAAATATTCTAAGTGAAAATGTCCACAGCGCAGCATATGCAAACATGAAATGGTCACAGAACCACAAGGACACACAGAAAACATGATTTTACTAGAAAATGATGACCTTGCTCATGAGCAGTGAAGAGATATGATTATGTTATTTAAACAAGACAGTGCTCCTGGCTTCATTGGCTTCTTATATAACAAAAGTGGCTCTATTCAGTTTTGAAATTGAGTTGTTTGAGGGTTATTGTAAGAACATGTGACTTTAGGAATCTTTGAAGTCCCATGTTATATGGAGACGAAAGTGCTTTAAAATGTTATTTAATATTTGGACATATTTCATACTTCGTAATAATGCAGTATATACCTCTCTAACACCTTTCATAAGAAAAAATCTTAGGATATTTTACATATGATCAGTCAAATATTCTGCTTAGGAGGAACTGATTCATCCTCCTCTAACTGGGAAGAGTGGGGCACAGAGCAGAGAAAACCACAGCTAAAAACAATTCTGGGAGCTGCTGCTATAATGGTTTCCATGATAAATATACTTTAAATATTGTCAATGATTCTAAGAATATAATATCATTGTGAAAATTTCTCATAAAGTTTAAATATAAAGGATAGGTTTGACCTTCACTGATTATTTCCTTGTGTTTAAAAAGGTATTTCCCCACCCACTGAAAAGTTTGTTTTAATGAAAAAATTTAATATATATATAGGATTATAATTTCTTTTGTATAGTACACGTAACATGTGTCTACGCATGCGCGCACACACATGCACACATTGGCTATTTAAAGTAACTTCTGATTTAGAGAAATCAATGAAAAAATGGATCACTGTCTTTTTAATGCACTGTCAAAGTCAGCATGGGTGATGGTAATGTAGCCTTGTGAGAGGGAATATGGCTAACCTTCCTCATTCTTATCAGCTCTTCAGGCTTTTCTGCAAGCTTCTGTTTTGCCATTATTAAAGAAAAAAAAAGAAAAGAAAATTGATGAAATATTGGCTCAATGAAGTTTGTTTGAACCTTTATTTTTTTAGGGAGAGGAGAATGGGGGAGAAGAAAAAAATTGGGAGGGGAAGGGTAAAGAAACAAGCGGCCCGTTGGCACAAACCTGTGTTTGGTCACCATGTGAGGTAGGTACTGTGACCTCGATGTGGGATTTTTCCACCTACATTTAAGAAATAAAGTGGCAAAGACATTTCAGGTTAACAGGTTTCTATGTATAGCATTGTGCCCAAATCAGTGCATCTTCAAGCTGGTGGTAAAATAAGCTGATCTATATAATCATCAGGGTGCACATCAGGTATTATCCTCAACAGCAATTTTCTACCTCATCACCCATTTTAAGGCTGAAGAGGTAATATGAATAGCCAAATTAAAAAAAAATTAAGGTAATTATGCTATTCATGAAGAATATTTTTATATTTATAAAAAAAATGTAGTTCAGCTTAAATAGGCCATGTTTTTGTTTCTCCTTCTGTAGTGATCTGTGAGTACTTTAAATAACACCTGAAAACAAATTTACCAATGAAGATATCAATGCATGACATACATGAGTGTTAGAAACAAAAGGAAAATCTTTACACTTAAAACACACATGTTATAAATCACACAAGACACCAAGCAGATAAATACAAACAATGTTGTTAGTTGATCAATCTATTTAAGGAGGGCATTTCATCTTTAAACTTATTAAAACAACAAAAGATCAAAATAAGCTCAACACAAATTGTTCCTGAGACATGCGATTGCTTCCAAGTCTGATTCATAAATAAGCACATACAGGGTTCAGCTGCGACATTCAGAGGACTGTTTTCTTTTCTAGAGAGTTGGAGTCCATGTGTTTGATGGATGGGCAAGACTCATCCTTAATAGTAGGAAGAGAATATTAAGGCCTAATTCTGAAATACTTTTAGTAATAGCTATCTTATATACCCCAAGTTGAGTAAGTATAAACAACATAAATCCAGTCAGACTATTAAGAGCATAACAGAGTGAGCAATGCCTAAAACCTTGGATATTTCAAAATTAGAGAACTATTTTGGGTCAAATCAATCACTTTGTATCATTAAGCTCTTTATAGAAACTCATCAAAACTGTGGTTTTGACATATTCTTTTTAAGCATACTTGGCAGCATTGCTTCAGAGTACAATGTCACCATGCTATTTTCTCTAGGGCTGAATGTCAGGAACATTCAATGGAAGGGACACCAGACTTTGTGACACTGTCAGATCAGAAGCACATCCAGCTACTGCACTTTTATCTACAAGGGGTAACTAACAAATTTGGGTCATTTCTGCTCTGAATCCCAATACACTTTCTGTGTTCACCATTTAAAAGTTTTTTCACCGTTATGAGTTTAAATAAGTTTTTTTTTTTTTTTAAGATTTATTTATTTGTACATACAGAACTGGGGTACAGGCCAGAGGCTCAGGGGCGGTGAGAGGCTCCACCAGAGACAGAGTGGGGAACAGAACAGGCAGATGGATGAAGCACACTGCTGAGGGGAGCAGCAGGCGGGTCAGGAGGGGTCTGCCGCGCCATGTGGTCACCTCCCGGGCAGGCGGGGATCGAACTCATGTGGAAGTGGCTTTAGCTTCTCAGTGCAGTGCTTTAACCTGCTGCGCCACCAGGGAGGGCCCAGGTTTTTGTTTTTTTAAAAATAATCCAGAGGTCTTTTACTTCCACACCTATCATGATGTGAATTCATAGGGAGTGGATTCCAACAACTCAAGCTCCTCTTCACTCGTGTGCGTCTGTGGACGGAGCAGGCTGGCCCTTCAGCTGGACCCAGCTTCCTGTCTCTTTGAGTTCCCTTTTATCCTAATCATTTTATTTCGCATAATTCGGGAAGCCATCCTGGTTCTTAGAGAGTTTCAATACAAACATAAATTCTCTTGGCAGGAAGCTTGCCCTTCACTTGTTTGCTTACAACAATGCCAACTGTGTGCCAGGCAACGTGTGGGACACTCCCTCTTGCACCCGCTTCATGTTCACAGCAATACTGCTCTTGTAGATTTGCATGAATGTGGGAATAGCTCCATGTTTTTTTTAATTCTCCATTGATTTTCTGTCAGGAAAGTGGGGTGTTAATTTGCTTTTCTTCTTTTATTAAATTATTTTGAAATTTTTTATATCATTCTTCATTTTGTGCATTTTTCCACCTCAGTTGTAATCCCCAGGGGCTTCCCACCACCAGTTCACCCATGTGCCATCACCATAGGGCTGTGTACTTTTCCCACCCCAGTTCTGATCCCATTCCCCTTTCCAGCACCATAAAATGTCTCTGGTTTACAACTGTTCACTGTTTTCATTTTTACTTTATTACATCTGTTTCCCTCTCTTTTTTTTAGCTCCATGTTTTCTAACAGTCCTGGAGAACACAGAAGGGGTGTCTCTCTCCTTCCCTTTGTGATGGTCACTTTGGTGATTTGCAGGAAGATGGGGGATCCACCCAAAAGTCTGAGTTTAAGTTTTTTATTAATAAAATGGAGAAAATATCTTTATAGGGTTATAGATGTTTATGAAATGGTAGTTTTAAATTATTTTGTGAGGCTGAAATTACTTGTTGGAATAAATAATAACTTCTTTTTCTTTAGGTGCTTAGCAATTCAACAGTAAAAAATTGGGAGGCTCTACTTCAGCCTAAGAATGGAGGCCAAGTAATTCTGTGCTGTTCCTCTCAGAATATTAAACGAGATTAAAAATATATAAGGGAAAAGGTACTACTGCCACACCTGCAAAACAAATCTTGTTAAATGATTCCAGATTCAAAGTTATTCTCTATTGTAATAAAATGTATATAGTTACAAGGTTAGTTTATTACAGATGTTGCTTTATATTACAATATGGCTTCAAGAAAATCCCATAATAATTTCCTAACTGCTGCAGATGAAATCAACTCAGTCACCCTTAATTCTGTTATTACTATTATCGTAATAAGAGATTATGAGAGGGGGTTTTCTGTCTGATCTCAACATAAGTGTCCTCAAACATACAGGTAAACAAGAAGACCCCCCACTCCCCGCTGACACCTAAATGAGGATATATACCAGGAAGCCATCTCTCCCTTCTGCTGAGGCCCCAAGCTACTCAGATACCTGTGTCTGCCATCTAGGCAAAGGAAAAATTTAATTTGCAGAAAACCAGATAAATCCTAGCCACTTAGAAAGATTCCCTCAACAACTCCAGTAATCAACACTTTCCAGTGAGTGTAACAAATGGAGGGTAGTGAAAAGTGCCAGCTGAGATATTCTATCACGTACAACTGAGGCAGCCTAATGTTAAAGTAGCACTCTTGACTGAACCTGACTAGGTTTTTGGGGCAGGGAAAAGGGTTCTGGACTCAAGTTGATCTTAATGGACAACAAAATCTGCATGGGATACAGAACATTTTTTAAAAATACAGACTGGCCACTGCTCTATAGACAAACTAGCTACTGAAGTGGCTCCAGAAGAACAGGCTCAGTCCACCCACCCAGGTGAGAGTACCTACTAGGTCTTATATGGTTCTGAATTCCTTAGACATATGAAAAAGACAGTTTTTAATAAAGACTGCTTTAATAATTCCTGTTGTCAATAGGGAGGCAGGTATTTACTTCAATAAATCGGAACCAAAACCTCAACTCTATCACAATCTAAATGTGTTCAAAAAATCTTATCAACATATGTTACTGCTATTCCTGGGAAATCTGCTAATTTAACGGGTACATTTTCAACAAGGTTCAGTGAGTGTGGGAATAATCAACTTGGATTTGTAAGCAACACAATAGTATAACCTCTCCATAATATAACTGCCCCCTTTTTGTAAAGCTACGTTATGTATGAACAACCATATAGGTGTGCTTTATGTAGTACCTGGATATTCTCTGAATATGAATAAAACATCAATGCTCAGAAATCAATTAATGAACTAGCCTAAAAAAGAATGTGGAAATTCCTCCTTGAAGAAGAAGGGTGGTCGCAGCACTGGTGTGTTTTATACTCATTTTGTTCAGATATAAGTTGGATCAAGGTGTGGGTTACCTGAAAACTTCTGGGAAATTTACACTGTTCATAATACAATTCTATGAAGATACTTTCAAATTCATGGGAGATATCTTTAAGAAAGAGTGAGCAAAAAATAACTGAAAGATTTTCTAAGAATCATCTGCTTTGAAAGCTTTCCTGGTCAAGGAGTCAACACCTCTTAAGTCTGGATGAATAAGCTAGACATTGGGTAGAAGACATGAGTTGATGGCATGGATTCATGACATACCTTCCACGATTCCGTGGGCTCTGGTTCAACTTGCTCAGGTGGCATTTCTTCCCTTTTCACTTCAACCTTCACTGTCTCCTTCTGTGTTTTAGGAACCACTGGTTTTCTGAGAGGTGCACCTGGGACGCTGCCTTCTGTGACCTGACTCTGAGCAATGGCTGGCGCAGATGTAGGCCGAGGACTTCGGTCTGCTGAGTCGGCAGCTGCTGCTATGTAAGGAAGGGAAAGAGGATGCATAAGCGAAGGCAAAGTCACCAGGTGGAGTAAGTGTGACTACAGGCATACACAAGTATGAAGCGTCCACGGGCTATCCTACAGAAGATAAAAAGAAACCATTAGTGTTCTGCTTTTGCCATGAAGCACTTGGCAACAAGAAAGCTGAAAGTACCCTCAATGGAAAAGCTAAAATGTGCTGACTATCATGTCCCATAAGGGGGGCGGTGTGGAGAGGGTAGAGGACATCAAAATAAACAACCGAAACTTTATTAAAAAGTTGGCAAGATTTTTTTTGATATATATATATATATATATTTAATTACAAAGTTTATTTTTACATCATTTTGCACATTTTTTTTTTCCATCTCGATTGTAATCCCCACGGGTTTCCCATCACCAAATCACCCCTGTGGTTGGCAAGATTTTTTAACCTTGTAATCTGTTAGTTTCAGGAACCAGCAATGTAGTTGACAGGAGGGGGAAAAATGGGCTAAGTCTGATTTCTTCCATAAAGTCTTTTGAAAATAAAGCTACAGCTGCTCCCCTTAGCAGTGTACTTCCTCAGTCTGCCTGTTCTGCTCCCCACTCTGACTCTGGTGAAGCCTCTCACGGCCCCTGCACCTCTGGCCTGTACCCCAGTTCTGTATGTACAAATTAGAATTTTTTTAAAGCATTTTAAGGTTTAGTCTTTTGCAGAGTCACCAATTTGTATGACAGCTTCTATTCTTTAGTATTTTTAGCATTGAGGTTCTCAATTGTACCTCACAGAGAACATCTGGAAATATCTGGAGACATTTTTGGTTGTTGCAACTGGAAAGAGAAGTGGGAGGGATACTGGCATCTAATGTGTACAGGCCAAAGTTGCAGTGGTTAAGAAGCTTAGATTTACGAAAAAGGTACATACACTGTTTTAGAAAGAATATACAATATAGGCTAATGACAAAAGCTTGATCTTTTCACAAAGTTAGTAACTGTTATGGTTTCAAGTATTGAGTATCTTAAGTTAAGATCACTTACTACAAAACAATTACTTTTACTTTTTAAATGATTTTTATCTTCATTCTTTCAGGGACTAAAAGAAAAACATTTATATACTTTGTAGTATAACCTCTCTTATCTGGAGTTGGCTAAGAATGCAGGTGTTTTTCCATGCGATTTAATATTTCTGGTAACAGATCGTCAGCCTTCAAATACTGAGACATTTACATTTTAATTATTTTGCATAATTATCCTGCCTTTTCAAAATGAGCATATTGAACTTATCTGATAAACTTAGATTCATAAGCTGTAAATATAAGATGAAACAGGAACTGCATGAATCAGAACAGAAAAAAAAAATGAAGTTCTCGTAAACACAAAACCAAGGAAGAAATTCTTCTTACTCTATAATGATCTCCTGTGAAAGACACCATTCCTCAGAGGACACATAGGAAAAACAGCAGAACACAAGACTAGCCCATCTTTCAATGGAAACTCTGTTTTAACAAAGCTCCTGCTACTCATGAGTGCTCTAAGCCAGTCAATGCACGAATGGCAGATGGCAGACCAAACCTAACAACACAAGGGAATGTGACAAAATATTTTGCTCACAGTTGGTTGAAAGTATCGTAATACATGTGGATTCACACCTCCTCTCAAAGAATTATTTCAACTCTGCGGCATCACAGAGACATAGCCCATGCTTACACCATGTGTTATTTTGCCACTTGTGTTTGGTTTTAATCCAAAACTAATATTGCGGAGCCAAATGATTTATGTCTTCAGCATTCCTAGTCCCACCAATCTGTACTGTCTGTGGAAAAGTAGGTACAAGTGTGAAAATTGGCCGTTAGGAACAGGCAGAAAATTCATCAGTTGTAAAACGTGGAAGACACCAGTTATTCCATAGGGGGCTTGAAGAAGGCATGTCAATGAATACTAAAACACTTGGTAAACCCTAAATTTTAACAACTTTTAATGTTATACCTAAGTTCTTATATTCCTTTTATCATGAGTTAATATTTTTAAGAACACTTGGGCAGAAGTTAACTATATTAATGACATTGATGTGTGAATCAAGTGAAAACTATTACCTGAGAGCCCTGGAGAGAGGCAAAAGTTCTTTCTCTTTCTCAATAAGAAGACTACAAACCATGGATGACAACAGAGAATCACGGCAATGATTGTGATTGTTTTAACAATAGCTTTATTAAGATGTAATTTACATATCATACAACTCACCCTCTGAAGAGTATTCAATGCTTTTTTTGCGTATTCAGTGCCGGGGGTAGTGATTACTTTTTAATATATTTTGGTTCTCTAGCTTTATGAATTCATTTGTTAACTATTACACGATTTTGGTGCATATATAGAAAATACTTAACTTTAAACATTCAAATGTTTCCCATTTCTGAAGGTATTGATGAAGGCAAGTACTGGTGGGGGTAATCTTCTTAATTTAAATATTCTATTACTCTTGTCTGACAACAGAAGAACCTCAGACAGTTATATACTTGAGCAGTAAAGAATAAAACTCCAAACCATCATATTGTGTAAAAGAAGATTTAAATTCTGGTTCTGGCTCTGTTACTAGTGTTACTTCTGCTAGTGTGTATGGTGCTGGCACAACAGTACGCAGTGGATCAATGGGTCCCTGATTGGAGGGCCCCCGGGAGTCACCTCTGGAACTTGAAACACAAACCAAGAATCCAGGTAATGCTTGTGTCTGTGTCAGGCAAATGAGGATTCTTCCAGCGAGAGCTAGCATCTGGTTTGTTTCAAAGCTCCAAAGAAGATACAGGTATATGGCCCTGGCCAAGATCACTTTCAACCACACCCACCCAATGAAAGATGTGCCTAGTTGTATGAACCTAGCGAGTCATGTGGCTTTCTGTGTCCCAGTTTCTCACAAATTAAAACAAGAATTCCTGAAAGCTTCTTGCTCACTAGGTTGTTGCTACTAAATAAGTATATATGAAAATGCTTTGAAAACAAAAAGTACAGAACAAGCTGAAAAGTTCCTGTCATCATCATTATGATCCTTGAGTCCTGTCATCACTCCATCATATAAACTAGAATCTGAATCAGCTTTAGTTCTCCAGCTGGTGAAACAGATGCTCTGAGCATATAACAGAAGAGAAAGGGATAGTTATTTGTATTAATAAAGTAAGGTCCTTTATAAACTGTTCCCTAATATATCATGTCTAGCTCAGAGGCTTTTCTATTCATTAAAAAGAAAAAAAGAAAAAAAAAAAAGAGAGAGAAAAAAAGGAGGAGCCATAATAGAGAAAAACCTATTAAAAAGAATGGAGAATGAATTAGGAAAAGGAAAGAAAAAGTTTCCATTGACTTTCTTTTCTAGTTTTTATAATAGGAGCACAGCACAGAGGAAAAGAAGACATTTGAAAAGAGAACTATAAAAATTTTTGTCTTACTCAATTCAGATGCTGAAAAGACAATACATGCAAAATTTTCAGAACAGTGTCTGCCTCATAAGAGCTCAATGGATATTGACTATATCTTTTTTTTTTTCCATTTTTTTTTTAATTAAAAAGTTTATTTTTACATCATTTTTCACATTTTTTTTTCATCTCAATTGTAATCCCCACGGGTTTCCCATCACCAAATCACCCCTGTGCCACCACCATAGTCCCGTGCATTTCCCTCCCTTCCCCCCAACCCCCGTTTTTGATCCCATTCCCCACTCCACCCCCACATAATGTCTCTGGTCTATGGTTGTTCATTATTTTTGTTATTTTCTCGCCTGGTCCATTATACTCCTGCTATGAGTGAAACCATCCGGTATTTTTCTTTCTCTTTCTGGCTTATCTCACTAAGCATGATCTTTTCCAGCTCCATCCAAGTTGCTGCAAAAGACATGTGTTTCTCTTTTTTGGTTGCTGAGTAATATTCCATTGTATATATGTACCACATCTTTCTAATCCAGTCATCTACTTTTGGGCATTTGGGCTGCTTCCATGTTTTTCCAATTGTAAATAAAGCAGCAATAAACATGGGGGTACAAGTATCTTTTTCAATCAGTGTTTTTGTGTCTTTTGGGTAGATACCTAGGAGTGGGATTGCTGGGTCATAGGGAAGCTCCATGTTTAGCAGTTTGAGGAACCTCCAAACAGTTTTCCATAGTGGTTGTACTAGTTTGCATTCCCACCAGCAATGCAGGAGAGTTCCTTTTTCTCCACATCCTCGCCAACATTTGTTGTTGCTAGTTGTTTGAAGATGTGCCATTCTCACTGGGGTGAGGTGGTATCTCATTGTGGTTTTAAAAATGAAGTAAACAACCCCATCAAAAAATGGGCAGTAGAGCTAAAAAGACACTTCTCCAAAGAGGAAATGCAGATGGCCAACAGGCATATGAAAAAATGTTCGACTATGAATATCTTTTATTCTTTCTCTTCTACAAAAAAAAAAGTCATCATCATGAATAGCAAAAAATGCAGCTCTGGGAGAACTGTGCTCGGCTGCTTATTCCCCAACCTCTTACTGGGTCCTCTTAGCTGACAGAGAACAGTTCTTGATTCTATGTCTAGCTCTGTTGTGGACTATGCGTGACCTTGGGCAAGTCATGTAAATCCTAAGGTTAGATTTTTAAGAAATAATGAGTGTTAGTTATTTTCTAATTAAAATCATTTTCTAATTAGAAAAAGAACAGTTATGTAAAAGTACAAACAAAATAACAAAGCTAATAGCTGGCATGAATAGATTTAAAAATATACTATGAAAAGGTAACAAGACCAAAGTTGGTTCTTAGAAAAAAATTAATAAATTTAATAGATCTGTAGCAAGACTATTGAAGAAAAAAAGGGACTCAACTTATATCAGGAACACAAAAAGGAACTTGACTAGGGATCTTACAGAAATTAAAAAGATACCCAATTTTATGCTAATAAATTTGGAAATCTAGATGGAAAGTACAATTATCAAGACTGAAACAAGAACATTATAACATCTTATTAATAGCTCTTTATCTAATAAAGACATTAGGTCTGTATGTAAA